AGAGACCATTATATCCACTGGTAAACCTGAGAACGAGAAACGGTCGAGCGCCAAGTTAACCACACAGTGTTGCGGGAGATAAACGTGCAAGCCTCTAACCGTGTAACCGCCGGTTACATTTGCTCTTAAGCGTGCTGGACGCTAACCGTTTCTGGCGCTAAGCTTGCAACTGCGGACAAATTTTTATGCGCTAATCGCGCATACGCCTTAATTAATTAGTTTTTTAAACTATCGACTCGAATTTATGTTGACACTATCAGTCAGTATAAAAATATAAACATTTCAGCAATAATCATTAATTGGTAGATAGTAAGAGAATTTTAAAAAGTTTTTTTCGTTTTTCTCAAAATGAACTCTCGTGCACTTACACGGTTAGAGTCGGACATCGACAATATGAAATATCGAGGAATTGTTTGTCTGAGTTTATGGTTGGTGTTATTGATTTTAGAAATAGCTGGAAGAGAGACGCTATTTTAGATTTCAAAACTTTTACTTTATGTCTAGTTTATGTAATTATTGAACTTTTTTTGTATTGAACACTTTGCCTTGTTGTTGTGGAGACAAAATGTGTGGAAATGACAGTGTTAAGAAATGTTTGTATTTTGTGAATCCGTTGTACGATATTTATAGTTGATGAATCTATGAACCCCTTCACACCATGTGTTGGTACTGTGTATCACTAGTTGATAAATCTATTAACCGTTTGTCAGTTGTTGATGAATTGATAAACCCCTTCATGTCTATTAACAGCTTCATGCTGTGTGTCTGTGCCATACATCTGTAGTTGATGAATCAATGAACCCGTATCTGTGCTGTGTGTCAGTAAATGATGAATCTGTTAACCCTTTAGTGGGTGGTTGGAGGGTGCCACTGGCAGACCCTACTTCTTTTCTTTCCCTCTGTTTGTTTGTTTTTTAATGTATACCTGTATTACTTTTTCTTAGCACTGTTATCGTGTCAATGTGTTTTACTCAAACAAACAAAACCATGTAAACCTCTTCCTACCATGTGTTGTGATACCACATGTCAAAAGCTGATGCAACTGTTAATCCCCTCATACCATGTGTCTCTGCTGTATATCCCACAGAATGACCTAGTAGTGGACACAAGCCTGGTGGGTATTGTCCTGAACGGTCTGTCTCACCTCCACCATGTCCTCTGCAAAGCCCACTTTGCCGTCTGTCTCATACATGGACTTGGGGGAAATCTCAGTGAGGGATCTCGTGAAGTCTTTGCGAAGGAGGTCAGTAAATGATTTGTTTTGTTGGTGGAGAGTTTGTGATTG